CTGCTCATTGCTCTGCTTCACAGTGTATGCCTAATGGCCATGGCCGGCAACGACCTATTCTCTTCTTTGATTTCAGACATTAAGTCATACTCTGGCAAAGACCCTCTGCTTCCATGGCTCCGGTATGCCCTCAACAAATCACACTCCCATTTCTCTGCTTCTTCTTTGTCTCTCACACCTTATTCCTTGCCATTTTCTTGCAGAGGGATTCGGAAAATGAAAGACTCGTTGCCTACTCACGTTTTGAACGATAAGCTTCCTCGATTCTTGCAGAAATGCACCGAGAAGTTCGAGTCCGATCGGCGTTATAGAGACGATTTGCGGTATCTTCGCGTTTGGTTGCAGTTGGTAACTTGTTAATTCATCTCGGTTGTTTTTTTTTTTCCTTTTTCACCTCCTTTCGGAGTTGGTATCTTTGAATTATTATTATTATTTTCATCATATCAATGAGATTTTTCTTCTTTTTTTTTTTTTGAAAAATAGTGTAGTTAGAGTTTGATGTTTATAGCTTATAATGGTTGATTTTGGGATTCAAACCTGATAATCAGATGGACTATGTGGATGATCCAAGAGCGCTCTTGAAAACCATGGAAGAGAAACGGATTGGGAGTAAATCTTCTTTGTTCTACCAAGCATACGCCCTGTACTATGAGAAGCTTAAGAAGTTTGATGATGCTGAGAAAATGTACCACTTAGGGGTGCAGAAGTAAGTTTTTTATTTGTAAGTTTGAATTCATTTTTATTTCATGTCTTGTTCCTCTATACGCTATGTGTGGCTTTATATTATGACTAATATGTATAGTTTTGTGCTATTATCTCCTGTTCTGGGAACCAAATTCAAATGAGTTAGCTATTTTTTATTCTGTGTCTATTGAGAATTGATGATTTAGAGATGCGTGATTGAGACAGAATAGTAAATGGATTGTGTGTGGTTTTGCCAGAGAATTGAAGGTAGTTGCGAATGACATCTAGTGTAAGATCTCACATCATCTAGTATAAGATCTCACGTCTATTGGAGAGGAAAACGAAATATTTCTTATAAGGGCGTAGAAACCTCTTCCTAACATATGCGTCTTAAAACCATGAGGCTGGCGGCGATATATAATAGGTCAAAGTGGACAGTATCTGCTAGCGGCGGTGGACTTAGGTTGTTACAAATGGTATCAGAGCCAGGCATCGGGTGGTGTGCTAGCAAAGACGTTAGGCCTCCAAAAGAGGTGGATTATGAGATTCCACATCGGTTGGAGAAGGGAACGAAACATTCCTTATAAGGGTGTGGATACCTCTCCCTAGCAGATTCGTTTTAAAACTGTGAGGCTGATGGCGATACGTAACAAGCCAAAGCGGACAATATCCGTTAGCGGTGGGCTGGAGTTGTTACATCTAGTCATATGCTTTTTCTAGAAATTTTTCAATGAAAGTTTGAAAGACTAAATATTTTTGTGCTTTTATCTTTCTTCATAACATTATGATAACACCTTATGATCCAATAATCTTAGTATTTTAGTTTCATTATCCGTGCCCATGCCCATTGCGAAAATCGAATCTCTTGGAAGAAAAGAAAGCCGGGACAATTCATCAACTTGGATAGCCTTGGCTAAGGGCAATACTAGTTGATAGTCTCAAGAGGAAATCATCTGAAACAAGGTAGAGACTAAATCTGTTAAATCAATGAGGCTTAACTGAGACAGAAGAATTCATATAGGCATATCTGTTCTCTCTCTTTTTTATTTGTGTAGTAGTTTTAACTTTCCAGTTTTCACAAGGATATTAAATTTGGGTTACACGTGTTACTCGTGGCCTATTAGAAGTAGAAGGCACTCTGTTGGGATCTTCACAGACAGAAAAAGATTGCAATCAATTTGATAATGATCGTGTGACATCGCTTCTTCGGTCCGAACTTAGGAATCCCTTAGATATGATACAAAATGGATCTTGTTCTATTGTTGATAAGAGATTTCTCTATAAACAATATGAATTGGAGTTTGAAGAAGGGGAAGGAGAAGGGGTCCTCGACCCGCCACAGATAGAGGAAGATTTTTTCAATCACATAGTTTGAGCTCCTAGAATATGGCACCCTTGAGCTTTCTATTTGATTATATCGAAAGGCTCACTGAATCGGATTTTTCCTATTTGGGCTAGGTTATTTCAGGGCAAACGGATCCTTTCTGATAAATAGGATGAGTTTTTTTAAGTAAATACGGTCATGATTTGCTTGTCATAACTCAACCTTTTGCCTTTTCCTTTGGGGATAAGATTATTCTACTTTGTGAATTCTACCCATATTATTACATTTTTATCATTCTCATGGCTGTCTTCTATAATTTTTGTAGTTAACTTTTATATCTGCATCAATATCATTAAATCTTCTATTGAAGTACCTGCTATTAGTGTCAAGAAGTTAAGATGGAAAAACATGTTTTGGTTGTTGTACAGGCTTGCTGAACCTATTGATGAATTACAAAGGTCATATGAGCAGTTTCTTCGTCGCATGAAAAAACACAATTATAAGAAAGTTCAGGTGAGCCTTTTGTAATTATGCACTATACTTTCTGTCTCTTGTTGGGAAAATTCAGTTTGCTTTCTAAGGAACAACAGACATCCTGCAGCATCAGCATGGAAAAACTTCAAGGAGGCATCTGTCTGACAAAAGCACTTCTAATCAAGGTGATGCCGTGGTGAACAATAATGAGGATCAAAACAAAGGAATTTTTCAGAATGGGACTGAGAAGATGCCTCAAGATTCAGCAGCTGAAGCCAGGATGCTTAGGAGCGACGACACCGTCGTTGCGAAATTTGTAGATAATGCTATTTATGGGAAATCTGTAGCAGAAGATGCTTGTCACCACGGTTTGGTGGAACCAACTGTGAATATGAAAGAGGCAATGAATGCAATAAATAGTATGTTTTCTGAACCAATAGAGATGGCTCCTATAGGTAGGAGATCACATAGAAGCTATTCCAAGAAAGATTGCAACTTAAATGGTGGGTTTGAGGTGTTTGTTGATGAGAATCTTGATAAGAAACCTGAACTAGAAAAGCAGATGCCACAGCATGGTAGTATGACCGAACCATGCCAGCTCGAACAACCGCCTTTGATGATTTTTGTGGACGATGAAGTGGGTGGCGAGCTTGGCAACACAAGTTACGAAAAGGATGGATCAAAGTTGAGCGACTCACGATATGTCGTAGGAAGTTCTACGGCATCAGCATCACGTTCAAAAGCGTTCGTATTTCCTTGTGTGGACAATCCTGAAAATGTCAATGACGACGATTCTGATGTACAAGATCCTATTGAAGCGAAGTTTAGAGAAGATACAGTTGTTTGTAGGTTTGTTGGTACTGCCATTTCAAATGAGCCAGAGGTGGAAAACATTTGTCACCATGGCTTGGTAGAGCCAACAGTTAACCTGAAAGAAGCCATGGATGATATCAACAACATGTTTGGAAAGCCCATAGAATTTGTTAGGAGTAGGAGATCCAAGAAGCATGAAAATCCACCAGAAGTGCAGAATGATTTTGGTGGGTTCTCAATACTTGTTGATGATGATCTAGAGCAGCCTGCACAGGCTCAGCCACCAGTAAAGTCATCAAGAAAACCAAGAGACTGTGATTTGTTTGAGCCAACAGTGTTTACTAAAGAGGCCATGGATGATATCAACAAAATGTTTGGAATGCCTCTTGATTAGTAGTCACCACGGGCTATGTTTGTGCTTGGAATGTCAGCTTCTGATTGAGATGTGCTTCTAATGTGTACTGTAATTTAGAATATGTAGATTTTGATTCTGATTGATTTCTCATCACTTGCTTGTCTATCATGAAATCTTGAATCGGAATGATTCCAAATTTCAAGATTTTAAAAGAAGGAAATGCTTTTGTTGAGAATTGTTGAGAGAGGAATCCCACCTCGGCTAATTAAGGGATTGATCAAGACCATACGCGCAGTGGAATATGTAGTTTTTGATGAAGCTGAGCTGATTGCCTCGTTGACATGGGTTTTGCAGAGCAGTTGCATAAAATCCTTGCACCACTGAGTGAGAATCGCCAGACCTTGCTTTTTTAGTGCAACCTTAGGTAGTGTTCTTGCAGAGTTTGCGAAGGCTGGTCTTCGTGAACCCCAGCTTGTGTGCGCCGCCTTGATTTAGACACTAAGATTTGGCCCCACTTTCATCTCCTTTGAATTATTTGGGTTTCTTTTCCTAATGTAAAATGTTCATAGTGAGTAGGAAAAGCTTGTTGTTGGACTCTTATCAATTGGATGTTTGTGTTAAATACATTCTCGAATTTATTCCAAGTTTTTTATAGATTTATTCCAAGAATCTATAATTCTTTGATTCTCAGAAGTGGCATGATTTTTGTTTGATGTCTTTGAGTCTCTTTTTTATGTGTACTTTTTGCATTGATTATTATAATATTTAGAAATGGACTTCTAGTCCTGTCTGCTGGCCTAATAATAATCGTTCTTTTCGGTTGTTTCAATTTTTGCATCTCAATCTTAGAAATTCATTCAATAAAAGACTTGCATCTCGATCTTAGAAATTCATTCAATAAAAGACAATCTAAGAATTCATTCGATAAAAGACATAAAGTTAATATGTTAATAACATGTTAAGAATGAAAAACAAGTGGGATCAAACATCAAAAAAATATATATATATAAGTGTGATCTAAAGTCTAATTTTCAATAAAATCTTAACTTATTACGACTCTCTCAAACGAACAAGTAATGTAATGGGGAACACATGGTGAAGCCATGAACCCTGTTGGTAATAGACTTCTTCCTTAATACTCCATCATGAGTTAATCGTGAAAATTCATTGATATTGTTTTAGTATTTCAACATATATGTAAAAGGGGTAAAGAAAATGGATGAGGAGAAACGCTTTGCTGCCTTTTAGTTTGCTCATTTGTCTACTAAACGTGGGCCAGGAATAAGCATTCAGTGGCTAATAATGCTCATGTGCGCCCTGAAGTTAAAAATGTAGAGCAAATTCAGAAAGAACCACAGAAGAAAGCAAATAAAATTCAATACATGAACAACAAACCGACAAGGGGTAAGAGATTTGGTCAAAAGGGAAATAGAGGAAGAGGCTTGTTTGACAGATTTCCATCTTTTTCCCAATACTTTGATTGTTTTGGAGGTCTCTTAAAGAGTGAAGATTTTGTCTCCCTTCAATGAAATGAAAACGTGAAAAGAAATGGTGAGAAAACAAACCCAACTTCTAACATCTAAATGGTTTCATAGAAGGCCAAATACCTTACTCTCGAAGCTACCACGACTCGATTAAACCTTCCAAAAACAAGGGACCAACGTTAGAATTTCGACCTTCTCTCCAACCAACTCGTTTCATCTGAGTTCAACCGCTGAGTCAAGACATTACTCAACAAGTTCATGGTTTACACACAAAATAAATGAACTTATACCTCCACCACCTCAATAGTAAAAAAGCATCTCCATAAGAAATCCCATCAATCTCATCCCCTATTCCCATTCCATAAAAGCCTACTCTGTGTTATTGAACATGTGAAAGATTTACAATCATTCTCGTTCTCTTTCCTATTAAACAAACAAAACAAAACTCAATCAATGCAATATTCGCTTATTTCCATTCAAGAGGATGTAAAGATATCTATGCAAAGATAACTAACAACCTAATAAGAAAGTATAAAAGGAAAAATTTTCCAACCAAATCCGACGTCAATCCGAACCGACAACCTGGTCCTTTAACTCATCGATCTTAGCAGCCAATTCATCTCTACTTTCCTGAAAGGCCACAAACAAGAAAAATTAGCTCATTTATCACACATTTGGAGGAAGTGCAGGATTTCAAAACAAACCAATTTAAGCAACTACCTTCAATAACAAATAGCGAGCTGTGAACCACACTGTGTAACCAAGCCCCACAACTTCCAACAGCTTAGGAACCTAGATTACAAGACTTAACGGTTAAAAATTCATATGAAAAAGAACGTTACCAATAGACCCCCTAAAATTGCAGTTCTAAGGAAATACAAACTCTAACAGAGATTAATGTAAGAACTACTCACCACTGGGATGGAATCAATAGCACCAACAATGGCTGAAACCAACCAAAGGCCCCAAAAAGCACCAGAACCATATAGGATAAGATTGTATACATCAACAGACTCGAACTGCAAGCAAAAGTAATCGCAACCGTAAATGAAAACCTCAGTATATTTAAGACACAATATGAGAAACTTGTTCCTCAGAGGCACATTATATGAATCTATCAGAACCCTCAGAGCACATTAAGACACAATTCATGCAAATAGGGAAAAATCAACAAAACAAAAGTTTCAAATTTTGAAGATAAAGAAATTCAACGATAAAAAACCAATAAGTGAAGTTAGGTTGCTCGATTAACCGCTCAGGTCAACATAATTGTCGACCTATCATGTAGCACTGGAATATGCTATCAAGTTTGATGATATCATCACTGCAACTAACTCTGAAAAAGTTGAAGGCAAAAACCCAAAACATTTCTATTTATTAAGAAAATGGCAGAAGCCATCCAAAAATTGTAATAAAAGAAAACCCCGATTACTCAAGTAATGACACACACATACACAATTGTCAAAGATACAAAAGGCATTGAACAGTGGGATCTAGCCATAGCCTAAGCCACGGGAAGATGTTGGAAGCAAATAAATAAATAAATAAACAACCAACATATTCAAAAACCAAGTAGCTTTGAAGTTAAATCATTCTGTTGTTGAATTTTTTTAAAAAAATAGGAGACGGCTTTAAGCATTTTACTTGCGGATTTAACACATTTACATTGAAAAAATTCATGATAAATTACAATCACATGGCTTCAATATAAGTCCTTACTTGAAGACCATTCCATAAATCGAACGCCTGTTCTTGCGCACCCTCAACTGGTTCTTCTGATGACGCCATTTCGTCGGATGGGAGCTTCTCAGCAGGAGAATCTTCCAAGATTATCGGACCATCCCGTTCTTCAGTAATGAATGGTCGATAACCATTTGAATCATCAGAGGCTGCTGCTCTTGGCAACGAAACAGAAAAAGGACGACATCCTAGGAACGAATTGAGAAAAAGAAAACTCTTCAAAATTCACATGCATGTAACATTCCCCCAACATCCAAACGGAATTGCTAATCAGCTCATCGTTATCCAAGAAGAATCGATAAAGAACAGTGCGGACAAAGCAAAGAAAAGCATAAAGCAATCAATCAAGAAAATGAAAAAACCACAAACGACACACAGAAATTCAACTAAAAAGTAGAGAACACCACAATACAACCTAAGGGAATGTTTTCAAAGGCACACTGAGATTGTAATGAATGGAGAACATACGGAAGTGAAGGCTACGAGTAGAGCGGGAGACTATGGCGATTCTGAGAGGAAGAGCGTGCCTCGGACGGAGCTGCGAGTTTCCGGCGAGAACAGTAGAGAAAAGTGGTAGGTTAGAAATGGCTCGGGATGCAGAGAGCTCCATGGCCATGGCGGGAGAGGAATCGGTGAAGCGGTGGAGCGTAGTAGGGCTGAATGGACCGATGAAAACCCTATATAGCGTCCCAGCCCAGATTCTTGTCTTTGGCCCACCTTTTATTTTTTGAATTTCCATTGAATTTTTTAATTTTTGAATTTCCATTGAATTTTTTAATTTCCAAATATGGTCTTTGGAGGATTATTATTTTTCTAGAATAGTCCACCTTCATTTTGGTGTCATATTAAATCCAATTTAATTTGGTGCCAATTTATTTAATTGCTCTTTGTTACAAAACAAAAATTCATTCGGATATTACTTAATGTTTCAAAACTATTCCTTAATTAACGTAAAATTTCGATTGATAGTTCAACACTAAATTGATAAGCGGCTTAATTTTGTATAATTATATGGTATATGGTATAATTTAATAGATAAATGCACAAGTTTAAGTTTCTAACCTAAATATAAATTTAAATTTAGAAAATTTACACTTTTAAGTTCGAGTTGGATATCATTTTGTCACTAAATTTTTAAAATATAATTACTATATATATATATAAAAAAAACAAGGATGAATACATTAACCAAGTATTGTATGTTGTCGTCTCTTCTCTCAAGAGAGCGAGAAAGCCAACGATAGGGCAATGCAAGCAACGTGTTCGATGGTCTTTCCAAGCACATCATACCGCTAGATATACAACATTCAAAAGTGCAAGCAATAAACTGATTCTTTGTAAGATAAACTAAATCAAAACATGATTGACATTTCTATATGTTTTTGTATTAATATCAGTCCTCTTCATAATTTGCATTGCTGCAAGAATAATAAAATGACGCAAGAACTTGGTTTCTTTCTCCTCCATGTACCCTTTATTAATCAATGAATCATCTCAAGTACTAATGTGCTGCTATACACTTGACAATTTCTCACTGCATTATTTATTTTACCAAAACCATTGGCATAAATTAATCAAAAAACAAAGAAACTGAAGCTACCTGCCTGCCTGCCTGCTCCTCGGTTTCTCTTGCATATAAATTGAATGAAGAAGATGATGATGATGATGATGATTACATAAAATCTGGTTGACCTGTTGAAGTTAGACATCGATGCCACATTCGGCTATTGGGGTCCAACATCCTGGCATACGAAATCACTTCTGGAATGGGAAGATACACGTAGTGTGTGTTGCAGATTCCTACTGTGATGCCGCTGTATCCTGCAAACGCGCCGTGGACCTGTAATCGAGGAAGAATTAGTGGAAGAAACCCCCTGAAGAACCTGGAGGGAGGAGAGAATAGGGACTCACTGCATTCTGGCCCAATACGGTGCACAAAATCCCATCAGATGCATTTGCACGGCATGCACGGATCATATATGTTGGATCAATATACTTCACGTCAACTGGAACACTAATCTCCTTGAAGTATTTCTTCATCTGCAAGAAGGGGGCAAAAAAAAAAAAGGTAAAATATGTTAATACACCAGCAGAATAATCCAGATCAAGTTTCCAAAGGCACAACAAACGTCCTCCATCTAGCCAAGATCAGCTATCATGCCTTGAATAGCTTACTATTAGCTACTTAGCTACTTAGCTACTAGACTCGAAAGCAAACTCACTGTTGACGAGGGGAAGGAGAAAGAACCAAACAAACACCTATTTACTGAGATAGTTCAACCTGAATTTTTACATGAGAGTCAATGAATTAGCTGCTTTATCGAAGGAAAGAAGAAGAGAGAAATGCAAGATGGATGAAAGAAGAAGAGAGAAATGCAAGATGGATGAGAATGAAGCAAACAATTCTAAAGTAGTTCATAGGGTTACTCAAATTTGATTAATTTCTTTGTTTCTAGGGGAGCGAAGCCGAGGTGAAGGAAGAACCACCTAGTTCAGTTTTAAAACATGAAATTTCAAGCAGCAAAACGCCGTACAGCTCCCAAGTATTATGTACCAACGTAAGAAGGGGATCATAGATTCTCCCAAAACGCACGATGATTAATCTACATGGAAGTAAATTTACAAACCTCTTGTTGAATATATACGCCAATATCACCTAGTATAATGTTCCCAGATGCATCGGTGGCATTTGTTTTTTGTACCAAATTCTGCAGTTAACGCAAAGCATCAGTATTTCACTCTAATCATTTATGATAAACATAGTCAAAAAAGAAATTAAAAGATTCATAAAAATAACAATACCGAGTACCTGCCCTGCTCCCTCAGCCACACAGACTACAGCAGACCCCTTTGTCTCTATGAGATATTTCAAATGGCGTAGAACACCATGGGGCCCATGTAGTTGGAAAGGAACCTAAGAACCATTGGTGATATCAGTATGGCATCAAGTAAATAGAAACTAAATGTTACATTGATATTTTGACTCATACCTCAGGGATCAAGCATACATCAATCTGCCCACTAGCAAGTGCTGCTTGCATTGCTATAAAACCACTGCTGCGACCCATCAATTTCACAATGCCAACTCCATGATAAGCACTATGTGCCTACACCAATTTTTAAACATAATTATGACAACTTCCAGAATGAGGAAGGAAAGTTGCACATGAACACGGCAGTATTGATTCAGCAATAGAAAGCACTTTACCTCAATGTAGGCAGAGTTTATGGCTCGTTGGGCTTCTTCAACAGCAGTATCAAAACCAAAAGTTTTATCCATCAATAAGATGTCATTGTCAATAGTTTTTGGAACGCCAACCACGGCCACCTTTAATCGTCTTTTTCGACACTAAACAAAAAATAAAATATTCAACAAAGTCAGAAATGGTGTTGCTTTTTCTATTAAGAAGCAGAGATGTCTCGTTACAATCAAAGACCATAATAATAATCATAGGAACAAAAAGTATCATACTCTCGCTAAATGAAAATCCACACTTTATTAAAGTGGAGTGAAGACTGAAGAAAGATCAGAGTGATTCTAATTAAATTCATGTAGCTTTAGAATTGGTTCTGCAATATCATACAATGCCTATTGGATTCATGTTCTCGAAGAACGATAGATTCCAGTATATGACACGCTTGTGAGGTGAGCTTGAAGTATTGAAAAAACATATAGAGTGAGAGCATTCCAAAATACTGCAAATTTGCGTTGTAAACTCAATTTATCACTAATTTTTCTAGCGTAATTTAGAATGCAAAACGTAGAAATCAAACTTAACAATAGATCATGAAAAAGAAGATAATATTAGTACAACAACAAAATTCACAAATGTACTCACTGCACATCAGGAGAAACTAGTATACAAAATTGTCAAGTTAGAGAGGCTATAACCTACCTCGTTGTGTATCACATTAGCCCCCGCATGTGTGCCATTTCCACCCAAAACAAAAAGCAAATCAATTCCCCTTTCCTGAAACACGGACAATATGTGCCTCAATGATTTTCAAATGGTCTACTCCCAAAAAAACTCCACATTATCGAACTAAGAGAGTCTGTTTCAGACCTGCAAGCTGTCAACAATTTCGTCAATGGTAGGACCTCCACGCGAAACTCCTAACAAACTTCCACCAGAAAGATGAATGTTCTGAACCACCTTTCTGGACAACTAGGAATGAACGCCACCAAAAAGTCAATTAAACAGCTTCAGCTAAGGCAACTCTTTCAACCACATTGTCGTGTGAGAAGCAGCACTGTCATAAGACATGTGGTTCTACAGAAAATATAATTCTATGCATGCCAAAGAGCAACCTACCGGCATTTCTGTCAGTTCTTTGTCAGAGAATCCGCGATATCCAAATGGAATCCCAACTATCTTCTTTACACCATAAATTTCAAGTGTGATTACAATCTGTATAAGAATGCATATTCTCTGAGAACGTAGAAAAAATATGCTGAAAACCTCTTCCAAAACAAGCTAACATATAAAATCTAGAGTGCATATCCTTCTAGAAATAATTGACGCAATAACATCTAAAAATGAAATCTGCTTAAGTTCATGAAATAAAAAAATAAAATAAAATAACTTTTGCAACTGAAGTCGAAAGTAAAATAATGATATAATGAAAATAACCTGTCTGATAACATCATTAAGGCCAGGACAGAGACCTCCACAAGTCACAATTGCTGCTTTCACTTCTTCTGGTTTAAAATATATTTTCTCTCGAGGCCCAGCACGATGAACCCTATAAGTTAGAATTGTTATATTATGCATGGATGTAATTAAGAATCAAAATGCATTAGTTACTTTGAAAAAGAAAATATGCAAGAAATTCTTTTCCAAATTTGTGAAGCCCTATGATCCCCTTGTCAAGCTAAATAACCCATAGCGTCTTAGCAATATATGATCCCCTTGACAAGCTAAATAACCCATAGTGTCCACACTGCCAAGTGATTTCCCCTCTTAGCCATAGTTTCAGTTCACCCCATAATTGAACTTCAAGCAGTCTTTTAAGGTTCTAGAAAATTAACAATCACTTCAACAGTTCTGGAAAAAGGTTAGTATTAAAACTTTCAGCTCAATTATACCAATGCAGGCATGACCTACAATCGTTAATGGCTAAAGTTGAATAGACTTTACCATTGTTCTACCCATGTACAATTGGGGTCAATGCACTCAGCACCGGCGGAACTACGTGATGAGTAATTTATGACCTGGGCAGTGCACAATAAAACCAAAAGTAAGAGTAAATTCACTAAATTTCTCAAAAACAATAACAAAACTGCATGTCATTATAATATAGACGAGAAATTTTCAAGTTACCCAGATTAGAAAGTGAAAACAGGCCTCAAGAACAAGTTCTAGTATCACATGTAGCAAACAAATATTCAGAGCCTACATGTCATGGAGTGTTTAGAATATATCTTAAATGATCATCCAATAGCTTAAGCTTCGTTACTATTCATAACATAATGAATGATCAGGAAGAATATGGCAGAAACTAAAGTGAAAAGAAAATGGAAATAGTTCGCGAAATAAGGAAAAACCTTCAATACGGTGTTGAAATAAATGATGACCAACCAATCAACTTCCACAATGTTTTCACCATAACAGTGACAGAAAATATACCTTGAGAAGTACACGATCATTTTTATTTACGTATCCATGCCACTCTTCATCTGACGGATAACCTCCAGCAAAGGCATCCGAAACCGGTGGTGACCTGCAATTCCAATCCATACAAACACACATAGTAAATATCGACATTCATACCAAACAAACAAACAAAAGGAATCATGTTACCAGAAACTAAAGGAAAAAAGAGAACAACACCTCATCTTGAGGCAAAAAGTGGAAGGAATAGGAAGAGCATCTCCGAATACGTCGGTAATGTGAGGGAGACTGAAGCGCTTTTCGAAGTCCGCCTGGTACTTCATTTTCCAATCAGGATCACTAAAATCAATCGCTGTATTCTTGCGTTCATCCTTAACATCAACAGAGGCACAAATTCTTCCAAAAAGCTTCCTCGAACTCAGACTCAAAAACTTATCACCATTAAAACCGAACAGTCCATTGGAACAGTGCGATACCTGGTGATGAAATCCGAGTTTGGGACCGATCGCGTGCGAGATAGAACCCATCAAACGGCGATCGGTTCGAACAATGGAGGAACAACGTCCAGTATGAGGAACAGAGGATTGAAGAACTGGCGACAATGAGAATTGTTTCTCCAGAGCTACAGTACGGACGGAGACGAACGTCCAGTCCGATACGAACTTCGAACAAAAGTGGTGGCCGTCTGGTTTTCCCGTTTTGACTTGACGACCATGCTCCATATTAACCCTTCTTTTCCACCTTATATTACAATATTGCCATTCACCTTCTATTATTAGCATTTAATTTGGTGTAATTCGATTAGAGTTTTGCGAAAAAATGGCGACGAGAATATAAAAAATAAAATAAAATAAAATATATTTTGTATTTATTAACATATTTTAATTGAAAAATGAATTGAATGTATAACCTCGAATATTATATTTTTAAATATAATTATAAATTTTTAAATTTTTAAATTTTAAATATGATGAAATTTTGTTTTCATAATTTGTATAATGCATAAAATCTTCAAAATAATTATAAATAACATGTCTATCAAATACATATTAATTAAAATAAAATAAAAAAGATAAAACATTATTATTATTATTATTATTATTATTATTATTATTATTATTATTATTATTATTAGTATTATTTAGATTTAGAGTTGGTTTGTATTTGGTTTTAAGTTTATGGTTGAGACAGAAAATTTTAAATAATTTATTATTTTTTTATTAATTTGATCTTAAAATTTATGTCAATTTAAACATACTCGATTAGTTTAAACATATTTATATGATCGATCAAGAAATAATTTTTATTATATAAAGATTTAATTTTTGTAATTTATAAATATATTTATCTCTAATTAATTTATCCAGTTACATATCTAAAAATCTCATTAAATTTTAGGAATTAAGTTATTACTAATAAATTTAAAAGTGATTGAGACTAGACCAAAATTTTGTTTTAAAAATAAATGCAAAAATAATATTGTAATATAACTCTTGGAATAGAAAATAGTAAACAAAATAAAATAAAATACATAAAAGCAATGGAAATAATAATAATAATAATAATAATAATAGTACAAAAACAAATCAATGATTAGGGTATTCTTGGAGTCAATGGGCTTGCATGTATCATAATTGAGTGAAATGAATAAATCTTTTTGGGAATTTGCCCAATAAAATATTAAAAAATGTCAGAAACAATGTTGTCCACAACTCCCACAATTTCAATGGATCTTATAATTTACATACACATTGCCCCTCTCTCATTCTAATTTGCTTTTCTTTTTCGAACACCACGCCCTCCTATTCCTATTCGTTCGAGCCCAGCACTTATCTCGACCGTCCCTGTAGATCACGTGTTTTAACGCCATCTATTTTTGGAACTAATTTATTTGGCAAGTTTGTCCAAGGGTAACTTTTTAATTTTCCGTTGTAGACTTTACTCAAGAAGTGCTAGTATTTTTTATTTGCCTTCTATTCAATGTTAATATGTTTCAATTAATGAAGAATATTTTCTTTTTATCTAAGATTGGATTGGATTGAATGATTATGTGCGGTGTATAAAGAAAAGTTTTTAAAATATTAAAAAAAAGATTGAATAACCCAATACCCCAACTTAAAAATGGAGAGTTCGATTGAGTTGGAAACAATTTCGGGTGGGATTGAGTTGAATTTCGGGTTCAAAAAATTTCTTCAACTCAATCCAACCCGACCCATCTACGCCAGCCATCTAAATAAATAGAAAAGGTCTAAATAAATAGAAAAGGAATGGATCTTATATTGATATATATAAACCCCAAATACAAAGGTAAATAAACAGGATGAGATATTACTCTCATTTGGTGGTGAAGAACACTGAAGGGACCGGACACCATTTGTACACACAAACTAAAGACGAACATTTTTATCGAACGAAAAGCACCATACCAGAGCATTTAGCAGAAGCTTCATCTCGCCTTCCGCTTTAGAAATTTGGCCCAGCTGCGAGTATCTCATCTGTCAGCTTGTTATCCTTCCCAATCTTGTAGTTGGTAAATGTCTCAAAGTTCTTCTTGAACAAACCTCCCAGCTGAAGCAACGTATCCTTGTACGCCTTCTTGTCCGACCACTGCATACAACATCCCGTATACATTACCAACTCGAAGCAACTCGAAATGGATTCTTTTGACTCGTTTCGATTGAGAAAGGCCAACTTACAGTGTTAATGGGGTCCAAGATTTCTGAAGGCACTCCGTCGATCTCAATGGGAATTTCGAGCCCGAATACTTCGGTTCTCTTGTATGTTGCGTTCAAAAGCTGGCCAGAGTGAATTGCGTCAATGATCTTCCTAGTGTATGGTAGCTTAATGCGGTTCCCTTGGCCGTACCTGTTGGATGAAACATATGTATAGGTTTCGTTTTTTTTTTCTTTAGAGAATGTATTGAATGAGTCGAGTACTAATGCGTACCTTCCACCAGACCAACCAGTGTTTACGAGCCATCCCGTGGCGCCATGCTTCTGCATCTTCTCAGCTAGCATGGCTGCGTATTTAGTTGGATGTAACATTATAAAGGCAGCCCCGAAACAAGCCGAGAACGTTGCCTGTGGCTCTTTGATACCGTCTTCTGTGCCTGCCACCTATTCACAAACGTAGTATTCAACCAGTTGTTTATCTTAATGTTTCCATTCTACACACAGACATTACTCTTATTATAAGAAGGTTGGATTGGAGTACATATTTACCAGTGCAGTGTAACCACTGATGAAATGATACATGGTCTGTGCCAGGCTCAGTTTGCTCACCGGTGGAAGCACCCCAAATGCATCACAGGCCAATAAAATCACATTCCTTGGGTGCGGGCCAACACATGGTATTTTTGCATTTGGAATGTATTCAATGGGGTAAGCTGCCCTTGTGTTCTCTGCAACAAGATAATCGAACTCGTAAGGAAGAACCCGAGTTTAGTATGTAATTTTATAGCGATGGAAGTCTCATAAAACCTTGTGAAGTGTTCTTGTACCTGTGACTGATTTGTCGGTATAATCAACTTCTCGGGTATGTTCATCAAACACCACGTTTTCGAGCACTGCCAACGACCCATGAAATTCGTCAATCTCATCCCGATGCAATCAGCACAAAAAATTAGCCAAATCAAACAAAGAACAGGATGATAGAAACATCACCAGTTCCAAATATGATGGCATTCCAAATGTCTGGCTCCTTTTCTCTAGCGAGATCAATGCATTTGGCATAGCAACCTCCTTCAATATTCGACACACCATTATCACTCCAACAATGTTCATCATCCCCAATCAGATACCTATTATGATCGGTCGACAATGTCGTCTTTCCAGTACCTAATAATGCAAAACCAACGAGTACTGAGGACCTCAAAATCACAGACAGAACACAATTATGCAATAACCATTAAGAATAAGATAAAACGAAATAAGAGTTAAGGATGGATAGGGTAAGAGGGCACATATTGTTATGGCGGGTTTAGGAGCCATTCTGATTTGGCTCCAATGATACTATACCTGAGAGTCCAAAGAAGAGGGCAACATCTCCATCTTTTCCCATGTTGCAGCCAGAATGTAAGGAGAGGATTTGACGCTTAGGCATCAGATAATGCATAACACTGAATAAACCTTTCTTCATTTCCCCGGCGTATTGAGTGCCGAGGATGACCATTTCCCTCCTAGAAAGATTAATATCTATGCTAGTAGAGGATGTCATGTAGTGAGTGTAACGATTACACGGGAATTGCCCAGCATTGTAAATAGTGAAGTCCGGAGTACCGAAATTCTCCAGCTCTTCAGGAGAGGGTCGGATACACCTGTCACCGACCCAGTTATCGAATTGTACACTAAGCTAATACACCGTTGTACATTTTTTTTACGGCTTATTCATCCATGATAATGTAACATATGAACGTTAAGGAGACTTATCTGGGAGGCTTAGGCTTAGGTCCTTTGTGGAAGGGTCAAGTGATGGAACATATACTGCTGATAAAGATTGAGTGTTTAGTAATTTCACTTACATGTTGTGCATAAACAGTGAATGGTAGGCTCTTGCAGAGACGATACGAACTTTGATTCTGTTCTCCGGGTCCCAATTCAAGAACTGGTCATTCACAAACACCTGCAAATCACAGTGTTACTTCAGAAGCAATAATGAAATTGAACATAGAAAAAAGACAGCCAGCATTCAAAATCGCAGCTGCGAGGACAAAAAGATGAACTGTAGTCATAATGAATAGCTCATCAAAGATTAGAGTCGCAATAGCTAGCAAATATTGTCCACTTTCGACCATCCTTTTTAGACTTTAGCTCAAAGTTTTTAAAATGCATATGTTAGTGAAAAGTTTTTATATCTTTATAAAGAATGTTTCGTTCTTTCCCAACTCACAATACACCCCTCTAAGCCCAACATCTTTGTTGACACTTGTTCCCCTCTTCAATCGACGTGGTATCTCACAATTCTTTATAAAGACATAGAGACCTCTCCCTAGTATACCAACTTTTTAAAACCGGAGGGGAAGCCCAAAAGTAAAAATCTAAACCAGACCATATAGGCTAATAATAGGCTTAAACAGTAATGGAGATTTGTATGTTAAAATCATTTTGACTTTAGGGTTTCGAAGAAACATTCATCAAAGCCGAGAAAAAATAGAACACCAATGAACATAAAAATAAAAAGTAACCTTGTCCAATGAGTTGAGGTAATCAACAGCCCTTTCTCTGTTAACCATGAAAGTATGCTCGTCCATTTCAATGTTCGGGGAACCCCTAAAAGCAAATAATCCGTTAACGTGAAAGGGAAAGAACCCAAATAGTAGTAAACAGATGAAGAAGAAGACGGCAGATCGAAACTCACTTTCCCCACCAAAGATCATCCTCGGTGGTTTCATCTCTGACAACTCTTTTATCTCTCGGAGATCGGCCGGTTTTCGCACCAGAAAGAGTCGCCAACGCACCGGTCGACGTGATGAATGACCCTTTCTCATACTTTATCGCCTGCTCGTAAAGTTCTGCACACAGTAAAAAACGCAAAGATATTTAGCTTCCCCTTGGTTCGTTCCTGTCGACTTTTAAAAAAGGCAACAAATATATTTAAGTGAAGAAACGTCTCAAGCACAAGTTCCAGATTCCAAATTGGGCCCAGAAAATATGGGCAGACTGATAAACGAATGGCCCTTGAAATAGACGAAACCATCTGATCTGCCCTTAAATGGAATGAAATTTGAATGCGACGGAGAAACGGACAAAAAGAAAACGAACCTGCTGGGGAGAGATTGTAAAGAACATGGGTGAACTTCAGGGAGCTGTCGCTAACGCTTATTGTCGGCGCATGGTAGTGGTGGTGCACCGCATGGCCTTTGGCGGTTTCTGATTTCCTCGCCGGATCCCCTTTCACCAATTTTGGCCCGGTTTCTCTTGTCAATGATGCCAATGAAGCGCTGCTCAAACAAATATTGCATATTACAAATCAAATAACAAGAGACCCCCGAACAAATTAATCCGTCTTTGATCGGTTCACCCGACCCGATTATGCATAAACAATTAATCAATTCAAACTAAATATTAATTAAGCGTCGTTTTCGAAGAATTTTAAAATGAGAGGGATGATTGGTTGTTGCGACATGTGTCAGTCGAGTACGTGAAAGCAAGAACCTGATGGATTGAAGTTGCTGCTTCTGCCTCTCCTCTTCAGAGAGCGCAGCGAAGGCTCCTTCGGTGCCTTTAATGGGAGTAGTTGGGGCCGATTTCTTCCTCTGCAGCGAGTGCAGTTCATCAATGGTCTGCGCCTTAACAGGCGGCGCACTGTCGTCGTGACAGATCCCGTTCTTCTGCGTCTGAATTTTCGACAGACCATTTCTCGCCGATCCATGCTTCGCGAAACTGAACTCTGCGTTCCCGTTTGCCGCCATTTCTCCTCAACCTGATCAAACAAAATTCACTAAGAACACAAAAGCAAAAAAGAATCGCCAAATCATAAACAACTATCATTTATTCTTATTTTTACAGATTCATTGATTGATCGATTACCAAACCAACTCAAACAAATCATTATATTTCAATAATCAATATTCAATATTCAAATTCCTCCATCTTAGAAGTCAGTTTAAGTTCATTCTCATTTCTCATGGTTTCAACGTCAAACGGAATCTCCGTTCGGTGTATCCATAATCCAGCAGTAACAGAGAACTCACAGAAAAGAAAAGATCAAAGAGATATCGATGAACCAGAAGCTCGAGAACCGAAAATGTCGAAGAAAGAAAAAAGAAGCGAGAAGCTAATTCTGGAGCAAAAGACAATGGGAGAAGAAAGCGATGGATTCAACCATCAAAGCGGGGAGAGCCTGAAGAGAAGAAGCAACACGAAATCGAATCGGATGTGAAGAACGAAGCTGATGAGGCTGCCTTTTAAAGGCTTCACGAGGAGCCGTAGCTAACCAGAGCTTAACCAAACCATGGTTAGTTTCTATCACCGAATTTCCATAAGTGGAAGTTCCGACGGCTCATAACACGAGAAGCTAAAGGGTAGAACAGGAAATCATGGAATCTAATGCCATGCCGGTCTCTTGCATCTCGCGGCTATTAATCAACGCCGATAAATTCCTTTATATCTCTTCCCCATCCATACAATATATCGTTCTCCATATATTTTATCTTTTGGTCCTTCAATTTATAATTAATCACATTTTGACCCGTAATTTTATAATTATTTAATTTTGGTAGCTCTCTTACAATTTTAATTAATTATAATAAAAATTAATTTGATAACCATTTTTATTAAAATAAATAAATATAAATGTAATATAATTTTTTTTCTCCTTTTTCCTTTTATCACCTCTCCTGTCTCTCTACAAAAGTTTTATCTTTGGTCCTTCAATTTAAAACTAATAACATTTTGATCCTTAATTTTATAATTATTTTAATTTTGGTAGTGCTCATAAATTTTTAATTAATTACAATAACATTTAACCGATAACTGTTCGATGATGAAAGTCCCGGGTCTACTAATTTAGGGAATGATCATGAGTTTATAAGTGAGGAATACTAACTTCATTCATATGAGGCCTTTTGGGAAGCCCAAAGCTCAAAGTGGACAGTATCATACCATTGTGGAGCCTTGATTAAGGGGAGGCACACTCTATTGGAGGGGAGGTGTTGGATGATGAAAGTCCCACCTCGACTAATTTAGGGAATGTTCATAGATTTATAATTGGTATTCCATCGCTCGTGGACAACATCATACCATTGTGGAGAGTTGTTCGTCTAACAATAACCATTTTTATTAAAAAAAAAAGTTTAATTATTCTCTCTCACTCATCAATCACGTAGCATTCTTATAAACGTCGTAGCCTATCTACTATCAGTCGTCTCCTCTCTTAAGAGAGCAAGCGAGAGAGCCAACAATCGGGCAATACAAACAACATGCTCGATGGATTTTTTATGTACATCATGCAATTCATTCATGCATGCATGTATATATATATATATATATATATATATATATAATTTAATCTTTAAATAATATTTTGAAAAAATAAATAAATTTATAGTCGTTGACTAACAATAACTATTTATTAAATTTTGTATGAACATATATTTTGGTTCATTTGTAATATTCTAAATCTTGTGTCAATCTTGTACGGATGTTCATAAAAATTTTGTCATTTTCTCTCTCTTTTAAAATATATTATTATTTCTTTATTTAAAAAATATAGACACACGACATCTATGTTATCCATTAAGTTGAGTATATATTTTAAATTAGATGTCTAATAAGTCCATAAATATTTAAAATATAATTTATTATATCTTAAAATAATTCATTTTACATTAAATTTACACACTATTAAATATTTTTTAAAATTAAGAAATATATTAGATTTAGTCGCGCAATAAATTTTTATATTTTTTTATTTCATATTGGTTCCTTATGGATTTTCTTCGCTATATATTTAAATCTTTAAAATAAAAATAGGTAAATTATTTTCTCGAGCTTTGAAAATTTGACTTAATTTAATAATAATAATAAAAAAAAGTAGAATAATAAAAATAAAGCAAAGGTGGGAGAGAGAATTTGAAAATATTTTAGATCAATGTATTAAATTTTCACTAACGTAATGATATTTTTATTGACGACGGCCACATTAAAAATGAATTGACATTATATTTTTATTACCACAAAAAAAAAGATGAAATAATAAAAATAGATGTACTGAATTTACATTAACAATAAGTGTTTGGATTAATTTAAAAAGGTTATATCTATTAATATTTTTGTAGCACCTTTAGTAGCTTTAAAATTTTGTGTTAGTAGTATTGATTTATGAGAATATTTGAAGTGGGTTTGAGATTATTAAATTGCTATGTCTAAAGTTTTAATATTAAATATCGCGATTAAAGTTTAGGTATCCACGCCAAACAGGTTGTCGTAATTGCACTTTGAGGGCAGCGGACTTGTGATTGTGTGACACTCACTTCCCAACAACAAGTGAGTTAAGTCTATTTGTTCTTGCGTCGCCTACGACCAAGCGACGTACACTCAAGCCTTTGGCCTCGGTTAAAGAAGAAAGTTTTAGAAAACGAGGCACAGAGATTTTGAAAGCAAGATTTGAGAAATTAAAATTTGTGTTATATGGGAATGTAAGCAAAATGCAACAACAACGGCTTACTGCATATAACTATCGGGTAGGGAGCAGAATCCTAGTTTAAATGGATAATGAAAAAATAGAGAGAAAATTTTCTCCGTTAGCTCAACAAAATAAGAATAGAGATTATATTTTTTATCTCGTTTCCACTCGGCTTTATTGTAAAAAACTATGTTGAATATAGAAATTTGAGCTTCTATAAATTTTTTAAAATATTATATTATATTTATAAAATATAGTTACTATAATGTTTTACATTTTTTTAATAGAAAATATACTAATTTTTTTTTTAAAAAAAAATCTATTTTTTTAATATATATATATACACTTGTTGAATGAAAGTCCCACGTCGGCTAATTTAGAGAATGATCATGGGTTTATAATATAAGAATATTATCTCCATTGGTAAGAGGCCTTTTGGAAGCCTAAAGCAAAGCCATGAGCACTTATGCTTAGACAATATCATACTATTGTGGAGAGTCGTGTTCATCTAACATGGTATCAGAGCCCCAAAGCCCCAATAGAATCCTCAGATGTCGAATAAATGACTAAAAAAGAAAAGAAGTCGAGCCTCGATTAAGGGGAGGTGGTTCCACTATGCTCAAAGTAGACAATATTATACCATTGTAGAGGATCGTGTTTATCTAACAGATCTAGAGGAAGCATACTCGACTCATGAATATCTCTACCCATAAATTAAGTCTAATATTTGCTGATCATAAATGAAATATATATAATTTTGATGTGATGAAATCCACAAACAGCCAAATTCAAAATGCAATTTATTTTTTTAGTGTTTTCCACGTTAGGTTTTGACTTTTTTTTTTCTTTCTTTTTTTAGAAAAGACTTTTAGTTGGAATTAATATTTTAGCGATTGTCTTTCAATAAATAATTATATCGTTTACTTATTATCACAGAGACGTCATGGAAATACATTTTGAAGCATATCTTTGATTTTTATTTTATTTTATTTTATTTTAATTATTCATTCTCCACTTTCCAAATTTTTGTTTTCAAATGTTCTGTTATTTAGCTATTTGACTAAAATAATTACCGACAATCATATAGTCTTTTTTATTTTTTCTCAAAATAAACCCGAGCATAGGAACCAAATCACGAACAATTGAGTTGCACCCACGACAAATCACGTAGCGAGCCAACAAAAGACTTGAGTTGCATCGGTTGACTTGAAGTAAAAGAAGTCCAACCGATCACAACCCGTTTAGGTGGAGGCCTTGAATTTAACAAATCACGTAGCGAACCAACAAAAGACTTGAGTTGCATCGGTTGACTTGAAGTAAAAGAAGTCTAACCGATCACAACCCGTTTAGGTGGAGGCCTTAAATTTAACCGTTAATTTTAAATGATAAAAAATATATATTTTATTCTATATACAAGGAAGATAAGAGATTTAGAAACTAGGAGTGTACATTCGACCCGGCAACCTGGACCAACTCAACCCTAACTAAAAGGGTTGGGTTGGATTAGATTTTTCGAGATAGTTTGGGTTCATTTTTCTGAACCCGAACTGATTCGGTTCGATTTCGAGTTCATGGGACAAAACCTTCGAGTTGACCCGAACTAAATACAAATATATAAAATATACTAACAAATTTACCGTAATGATGGATTTTCTAGAGTAATACTTTGTTCTAACTTAAAATACTACCACTATGAGTTAACACCAATCAAATACATTAATTTTTTTATATTATTATATTATTTTGTTTTAATTTCTTATATATATATATATACTAAAAATATTATCAACCGATCATTATTTAAGAATATATAATAGGTTTATTAATTATAATATTAATTCAATGATATTAGAGTCGGGTTTCGATCTTAGGACTTGTGCGCTATGGCCCCTTCCTCTACACCACTTTGATTAATTAAATGCTAACTTTCAATTCTTTTAACCTTATCGTAGACATCATTTTTTTACGATCGCTCTCATTCGGATGTAGTACCGATTCATTCATGTATCTCTTATCACATTTAAAATCTCACAAGCCCTACAAAAACGAGAGGCAAATCAAAACCACACGCATCTACGAGGTTAAAACTAGGAGGCCAAAGAGACCAATACACGTTTACTTCACTTATAGAATTATAACACATGAATGTTGATGCATGTCCTTCGTGACATAAAAGACATTCCCAGTTATTAACGATACATCGACCCACAATGATAACATAGCAAACATAAATAGCCCCAAACTTTTGATTGCAACATCATACAATTTTTCTATAAATGATCGCTTTTATAACATTTACCAACTATATTACAATAAACTGGATATTAAAAAGAGGTATTTATATAAATATTATAAGAGAAGTCAAATTTATAAAAATATTTTTAATAGAGAGGAGCCACGGTGGATATATATATACATATACATATATTATAACGCCTCAGATTCACCGCTAGCAAATGTTGTCTTCTTTGGCTTTTCTTCAAGGCTTTAAAAGCCGTATGTTAGGGGAAGGTTTCCACATTTATAAATGGTGGTTTGTTCTCTTCCCCATCCAGTGTGGGACATCACAATCCACCCCCCTTTGGGGCCCAACGTCTTTCCCTTTCGGACTTTCCCTCAAGGCTATAAAACGCGTCTGTTAGGGAAAGGTTTCCACACCCTTATAAATGGTGGTCTGTTCTCCTCTCCATCCAATGTGGGACATCACAATCCACCCCCCTTCGAGACCCAGCATCCTCGCTGGCACTCTTTCCTTACTC